CACACCTCCAGCAGCCACCCCGGGGTCTCTGTCCTTCACCCAACCCCTGCCACCCTCATAAAGCCTCTCCTCCTCCAGAGTGTTTGTTCTTGTGGCTGCTCCAGGTCCTTTCCAGGATGCCTCAAGCCATAACCATTGGAATACAAAGAACAGGGCGAGGGAGATGCCTCGAGCCAAGTCTGGGACCCGGGGTGTTTTCTCACTCCACCAGCCACGAGCAGAATGCCAAGTGCTGGGCACCCTCGGGAGGGACAGTGGGCACCAGGAATCCTCTGGGGGCAGGAGGAAAGGTGACACACCAGAACTGCTCCAGGGCAGTTCACTGAGCCCTGCGGGGACAGGCTGGGTGTGACGTGCCACTCACCCATCACCCCCACGGGTGGTTAGAGAGGAAGGGGGTGGCTGCTGAGGAGCTCAGGCCATGGCTGAGGGGGCAGGACAGGGCCAGGGTGGGCAGCAACACGGGCCCAGGGTGCGACGGCAGCGGGCACTGAGGGGCGGTGAGAACGGTGCAACCAAGAGCTCCCCCCACCCCAGTTCCTCAGATCCCCCCCAGGTGCAGAAGGGATTTAGAGCAGCATCTTGCCAGCCTTACAAAGGCAGCAGCACTGCAGAGCCCCTGCCAGCCCCCCCAGCACTGCCCCTCCCCAGCCCTCGGAGCAGCCCAGCCCTCTCCAGCGAGGCAGACACCGTCCCCCCCGCCCCCAAAAACCAGCTGCTCCAAGGACAGGCTGTTGGGTTTTGTGTCACTGGGAACAGCCTACATCCTGCAAGGGGATGCTATTTATACCCAGGGAACGGGTGGCAGCTCCTGCCTCATGCTCAGCCCCCAGCCCCAAGCAGGGCCCTGGCCTCAGGGTGCTGCTGCCTCCACAGCCACCCTCAGCCATCCCCGTGCCAAGGTGAGACCCCAGTGCCCACCCACTGCTGCAGGAGAGGAAACGATACCCTCAGCCAGAGGCTTGTGCTGTTCTGCAGTCTGAACTGCAATAAAAAAAATTACACTAACAGGCTTTTTTGGTTTTTCTGGGGTATCTGGCAAACGCTGCTGTGGTGGAAGGGGGGCTGCCCTGTGCCCCAAGGCAGTGGCACAGCCACGGCAGAGCTTGGGGAGGCTGTGGGGGATGGCTGAGGGGGCTGAAACTGGAGCAGCTGAGACTTCTGTGTCAAGGGGGTAACAAACCTCCCAGCTCATCCCAGCCCACACTCCTCAAAGATGTGAGGGACCCTTGATCTGCCTCTCAGCCCCCCAAAAGCCTGTGGGTATTGAACCCCTCATGAACGCAGCTGCTTCGGGACAGGAGAAGAGAGGCTGAGCAGCCCCAGGCCATCCCTGCCCATCCCTCCCCGCTCAGCTCCAGACGCCACAGCAGCTCCAGACACACGACCTGCGTGTCCCGGCGCTGTGGCTGCTGCAGCAGCTCCTGCGGGAAGGAGGGAGGATCCCGGGAGAGGTGAGGAGCAGCCCTGCCCATCAATCAGACCTGACACCTCACCCTGCACCAGAAACTGCCGTTGTGGGCTGGGAGCTGCTCGGTGGCACCAGCTCGCCGGTGACAGCCAGCCCCGTGTCCCCTGCGAGCACAAGGATCAGGGAGCGCGTTCCCGCCCCGGCACCGAGCGCTAAATCCAGGAGCTTTTAGAGCGGCGGAGCAGATGGAGATCTTGGGCTGTGTGAGGACAGGCCCCACGGCTCCCATCGGGAGATGGCTCAGAAATACCGACGGGGGCGAGGGAGAGTCCTTAAGGGCAGGACACAGCTGGGATTTACAGCTCTGATCCGGCTCCTCGCAGGCGACTCACATGGGCGGGAAACGCTCGCTGGGCCCTTGGCACCGGCACCGTCCTCTGCTCCCCCCGCTCGGGGCGGCTCCTCCGAGGGCTCCGAGCGGTGAGAGGAGGTGATGGGCAGACGAAAAATTAAAGCTGCCGCGTTTTATAGTGAAACACCCCTGAAAACCAGAGACAGCGTGTCCTGAGACGGCCTCTCCCGCATCCCTGCCTGCACGGGAGCGCCTGGGGCCGCCCGCGAGCGGAGCTGCCTGCGGCACTGGGACCGGAGCGTCCCAGAGCATCATCACCGCGCGGCACCCGAGGCGCTTCACAAATGCCGTTGGATTAATTAGCAGCGAGTGTGTCATGCCGTGTGCCGGCCTGCGCGGCGTGCCGGGAGCACATGGCTCCAGGAGACCCGGATTAAATATGGATGAGACGCGGGGCGGGGAGCGGCGGGAAGAGCCCCCCCGGAGCAGCAAGGGGGGCTCAGCTCCGTGTCTGGGCAGGGCTGCGTCAGGGAAACCACAGAGACGTCGGCACAAGGATACAGAAATCCCTCTGTCTTCACCACACAAAAATTGGAGGGGGGGTGTACAGGCAAGACATCCTTCCCCTCCCCAGCACGGATCCCAGACGCAGCAGCGTCATGAGCAGTGATGCTGTTGGGAGCTCAGGCAGCAGCTCCAACCTGCACGTGAACACCCCGAGCAGCGAGTGGGGGTCGAGGGCTCAGCTGGGCACCACCGGGAGGGTCCCGGCTGTGCAGGGGCTGCCAAGCACCATCCAAGGCTCCCCAGGGACACGGCTCCGAGGAGCCACTTGCAAGGTGGCTCAGGGGGAGCACAGGGAGATGGGCAGCCAAACACTGCATCTGGGGCACCAGGCAGGGCTGGGGGAAGTCCCGGCTTAGGAAGGGAAAGCGTCGGCCCCCTGTGAGGGCAGGAGGGGAGCAGGACCCTGGAGCTGCAGGGCACCAGCTGGGGCACAGTAGGCAGCTGGAAACCACCCCGGGCACTAAGTCAAGGCCAACAGACCATTCTGGTCCCAGGCAGTGAGTCACCGCTGTGACTGTCCCTCAAATGCCACTCAGGAGCCTTTGCTGGCAGGGCATTGTCTCCTCCGTCCCTGTGGCACTGCCCGGGCATCCTGCCAGCACAGCCGGGGAAGGGGCTTCCTCGAGCCCTTCCTCCCACCGGGGGACCCAACCAGGCCTGGCCAGGGCCACACAGAGCCAGCAATTGCAGAGCAAACTTTGCTTTTCACACCTTCCAACCCTCTCCAAGGTGATACCTCCCCATCCCACCCCCACCAGGGGCAGGGAGCTGCCGGGAACACGGGCCTGACCCCCCTTTTTGCCTTCTCAGAATAATTTCACAGCCTTTTCCCGGGCTCCTCCTCCTGCGATTTTCCCCGGCTGCTGCCGAACGCCACCTTGACAGCTGCTTCCTCCATCCTTCCCATTCATCCCTGATGGATTATGCAGGGGCTGGGATCTCAGACTCCACCAAGGAGTTCTGGGGGGATGATCCTCTGGCCGGGGATCCTACGAGGGATCCCACCCCCATCCCAGGGGCACACAGGGATTTATTTCCCACCAGAGGGTCCCCGACTAAGCCCCGTTCCACCCCCGGAGAGCCTGAGGAGCAGAAGGAAGACTCTGTCTTCCAAAGCTGATTAAAAATAGATGCAGCATCTCGCTAATTATGCTGATTAATTAGCAGTTGTGGAGCATGGTGGGCACAGGAGGGGGCACACAAGGGCGGGGGGTAAAAGCGGGGCCAGAGCCCACCCTGTGCTGCCCTGGCAGCCCCAACCCCCCCAGGTTCCCCACACCTTCCAGGGTACTGGGGCAGCACATCTGGGGGGTCCCCACGCCCCCACTTCCCTCCCTATCGGCAACAGATGCCAAGTTCCACAGCGCTGCTGGAAATCAGGTCAGCAGTAGCCTGCAGCAGACTGAACATTCCTCATCCTGCCCAGGCTCTGGTGCCAGTGGGAGATGCCACAGGGCAGCCCCGCGCCAGCGGCCACCCCCGGCCCGGCTGGCAGAGAGGGAAGGAGGGATGGAAAAGTCTGGATCGCCCCATAAATCCCCTCCAGCCAGAAGGGATGAGGAGGGAGGCAGGGCTCCCTCACGCTGCTGACTCAGTGCTTGTGGAAGCTGGGCAATGGCAGCAGCCCCCCAGATGCCCCCACACACCCCGAATCTCTCACCCAACACCTGATGGGGTGGGGAAAACCCCGCGGGGACAAAGCTGTGCTGATTTATTCCCTCTGGAAAGGTGAGCAGGATCTCGAATGCCCACAAAGCCCAGAGTGACAGCACCCACCCCCAGCTCACACCAGCCTTTCCCTTCCAGCCCCTCCAAATCCTCCCCACGCCCAGGGACAGGCAGGGGCTCTATGCACCGGTGCTGGATGTGGGATGGGCTGCTCCACAATTGGCAACGCTTTCTGCTCCCTCCCTGGATCCCATATGTTGGTGCCATTAATATTCATGAGCTCTGTGGAAGCATCCGGAGCTGGGAGAGGAGCCCCGGCACAGCCCCGGTGGTCTCGGTGCTCGGGGGCCCGAGTCGCCCGATCCCCCCGGACCCCACAGCCCCTCTGCTGCAGCTCGACCCCTCCTCAGCCCCATCCGCACTCCCGCCATCCAGGGCCCTTCCCGAGAGCTGGGGCAGGGGCACCGTCCCTCCCACACTCCCGCTGTGGCTCTGCCCTCCTTTCCAACCGCTCCTGCACCCTCGGCTGCTCCCCTCGCTCCCAGCGCAGCTCGGCTGATTCCGGGCGGGAGGATGGAGAACAGCAGCGGCGCGGGGAGGTTATTTCCAGCAAAATGGAATTTATCCACCTGCAGCCGGAGGCTCGAGGAGGCTCCGGGCAGGGACCACACAGCCCTGCCTGACCCTGGGGCTTCGGCCCCGGGCTGCGGAGGGGGACTCAGTGGAACACCAGGAGAGCTGGGAAGTTGTCCTCAAGGGATTAGGATTTCCCACGGGTGGGGTAGAGCCTGGCTCCTGCCCTGCCCCACCACCCACCCTGGGGCCACAGAAGTGTCAGGAAGGAGCAACAACCACATCAAATTAATTGGATCCCGGTTTACTGCAAACAAAGTGACATTTACCTAGCAGAGTAATTGATATCCAAGCAATTTGTTGGAGTAACCTCATTATATGCCAGCTGGATTTCCCAAACCCTCCCAATCCCACTCATTACGAACAAGGTTTGTGTGTTAATCAGAGCTCTTTAATCACGGGGGTGCCCATCATCATTCCAGCAAGTTACAAAGCCTCCAGATTCATCACAGACCCTGAACACTCTCCTAAGAATCTGCTGGATGTTTTATTAGCAGGCGATGGTGCTCCTCGGGAAGACGCCGAACATTTCCCTCCCAAGCGATGGCTCAGGAGCAGAGCCGGCTCCTGGCACCACCTCTCCTCCCTTTCCTCCCCTCCCCGCTGGCAGCTCTCCCTCCCTCCCTGGCCTGGCTGATCAGCTCCTCCTCATCCTCAGCGCACGATCAGGAGCTGTTCCCACATCAGAGAAACGGCTCCAGTCAAAACAGGGCCCGGGAGGTGCCGGTGCCTCTGGCAGAGCCACCCACGCCAGGAGGGCACGTTCAGCAGCACCCCCCGGGCATGGGGCTCCTGGTGGTCCCGAGCCCAGACCCCTCCTTGGGTGACTCAGCCTGGGCAAGGCTTCACCTCTGCCCCCGGAGGCCCCAGCCCTGCCAGCCAGGCCTCCTCTGGGCAGGGGACACGGGACCCTGGGGACGGAGGAGAAGGTGCCACAAAGCACTGGGTCCTTGCTGAGCTGCCCAAGAGCTCCCTCACCCCTGCCCTCCCTCAGGAGGGGACACAGCCCCAGCCCCCCAGCAGGAGAGATCCGTGTGCCCCCCAGATCTGCCACCTTGCTCAGGCTGAGCCCTGTACGAGCTGCTCCATCACCCTAATGACACAGCTCATAATTATCTCATTTGCTATTAATTTGCTTGTCAAGAGAAATTCCACTCATTTGCTTTTAATTAATGGGGCCTTAAAATAAAGCCACGGGGCTGGGAGGGCTCTGGTGAGAGGTGTCTGCAGCAGGATCAGAGAGGATCAGCCCAGACCAGCAACGGGAAGGGCAGTCGGGTGGAGAACTATTTATAGGACAAAAGGAAGGGAAAATCCAAAAAAAAGGACAAAGGGACAAAAAAATCCTGCAAGGGAGCCATGATGCTCCCCCAGCTCCCTTTGCACACCCGGGCACTGTCCATGGGCACTGGACACTGCATCCAAGAGGCCTCTGTACACCCTGACAAGGCTCAGCTGCCACAGAGGGAACCAACACGAAAAATGCCTGTTTGCAGCCAGAGATGGAGGCTCAGAGCTGAGGAACAGCATCCCTGCTCCGAGAGCCAAGGGGACACAGCTGCCCCAGCAGCACCAAACGCACTGGGAATGTGGGAACGAAGGGGGTCTCAGCTGCCTGGGTGCACCCAGACCATGGCTCAGTGCTGCCAGTCTGCAGCTGGACCAGGATTTGGGCAATCATGAGAAACAGCCCCTCCTAAACCCACCTAACCACGCCAAAAGGGGAGAGGGATGAGAATTGGGGGTGGGGAGGGGGGAAATCCCAATGAGACACTTCCCCCGTCCTCAGCATGAGTGTCCCAAAATACAAACCCTGAGTCACCAGAGCTCCACCCGTGCAGTACAAACTCACAGGCAGCACCTACACTGCCACAGGCTCCAGACACGGAGGTGGGAATTCATCCCACCCAGCCTCAGACACCTGTGACAGAGCTGCTCATCCAGACTCCCTCGAAACTCAGCAAACAACAGATTTTCATCCTAAGACATCTTCTCTCCCTTCTCCAGGGACCCCAGACACACAGTGCACACGTGGGGATCCTCCTTCCTGATCTCTGGGTGTCCACAAAACTCAGGGGAAGCAGATCCAGATAATCTGTAGCAGAACAAACCATTCATCACCTGACTGGGCCAGAGCCATCACTGCCACATCCCTGATCCCAGCACTCCTCCAGACTCACACCCTGTTCCCCAGCAGCACTGAGGGGTGACCAAGGCCAAAGACCCCTGCAGAGACTCCTGAACAGTCACAGATAGAAATAGTGAAGAGGAAAGCCCCCCTGCTGATAACAAAAGGCTTTACAACCAGTCAGTAATAAGTATTTTCCTCTGGTTCCCAACAATTTAACACCCAGAACAGCCAATTTCCAGCAGTCAGAGTTAAAAAGGACAAGACATGTATGAGTTTACTTCGAAGGACACTCAAGCTCCACTCTCTGAGTTTCTATTAAGAGGTTTCATGCATTACAAAGCGATTTTCCCTTCCCAGGGGTATAAGCCAATTAGATAAAGACCAAGTTAATCCCTTATTGTGTCCAAAGAGCCGCAAGCAAACACCAAACACAAAGATTAGTCTTTTCCTTTAACCACTCTGGGTTTGGGCAGCTGAGAGAGCATCCCATGGCACAGGCAAACCCCAAACCCAGGGGAGCAGAGCCCCAGCTCCAACAGGGCTGCACAGGGGCTGCCAGGTGCCACTGGCACAGCAGCACCATCCTCCACCTAAACCCTACCCAGGTGACTTTAATCCAGAGTCATCCGAGTTTACCTGTACTGGAATGAGAAGAGTTCAGAGACTCACGCAGAGGGAAGTCAGGGCAGTGATGCAGAGCCATGTGATTGGGTTTTTGATGTCTGTTTTTTTTAACTTGAGCTTCTTTCCTCACTCCCTGCTGGGCCAGCCAAGGACAGCAGCACCCCCAGCCCTGGGTCCCTCACAGGGTGAGCACATGGACCCCACATGTATCAGAACACCCAGACCCCAGTGGGAAGAGGGAACTCCCAGCAACAGACCTCAAACAGCCACAGCCTCACATTCCTATTGACAAACTGGGCTCAATTCCTTGAGCTTCCACCCAAGTCACACCTTTGGCTGCAGAACCTCCCCCAACCAGCACTCCCCAACTTTCTCATTGTCAAATACCAACCAGAAACACACAAAAAAAATCACCAACAGATCGGAAGATAATAAAACCATAGACACTCACCCACTCAGCTGCACAGCCAGGTCAGGGGGAGCCACAGCCCCATGTGCTGAGGGAACCTGCTTTCCAGCAGAGCCATCCCAAAACTGCCCTAGTCCCACAGGCCTTTGGCACAGCTGAGCCAAATAAGGGGCTTCAGCACAGCTGGGATAAATCTGCAGGGGGAGTGGGATGATCCAGGGATGAGCCTGGGCTGGTCCTGTGGCTCCCAGCACAGGCCAAAGCCTGGGCCAAGGTAATGAGCAATTCCAGACGGATTTCCCTGGTGTTCTGCCCGAGAGAGGTGGGCAACAGCTGCCCCTGCCCACAGTGTGCCACCTGTGCCCAAATCTGTGACAGGCTGTAGGGGACTGTCCCCAGGGTTGGTGAAGTCGCTGGTTTGTGTGTGGTTGGAATAAGGAATGGATGAACTGACAGCAGTGCTGTGGCCCCTGGGAAGAGCCAGGACAGGTGCCAGACCAATTCCTCCCAGTAAGAGCTCCCAGGTCAACAGCCCCAGTTGGGGGTGTGGGGTGCCCAGCCCAGCAGAGCAGAGCTGTGCACAGCCAGTCCTGCCTTGCTAAGCCAGACTGAGTGTCCTGCAGGGATACTGGGCCAGGAACCCCCACAACCCCCCCCATCCCTGGGATCAAAGGAGCAGCTTCCACCGAGACGGTTTTCCCTTCCCAGTCTCCGTCCACCCACGAACAAACTCTGCTGTGAAACAGCTCTGAGGCTTCCCAGGAGACGGCGGGGCCTGGGAGCTGCAGCTGCTGCAGCCTTGGCTTTCAAAACACGTCAGTGAGGGCTTTTGGGCAGTGCCCTGCCAGTACCTGTCCCTCCCTTCACCACTTGCTCAGATGGGCCCCCAAAGCTCCCCAGATGGACCCTGGGGGTGCAAGGTTTTTTGCTTCCTCCCTTTTCCCACCCAGGTTTCAGGAGGAAGTGCAGAAGGAACCAGCCCAGACCCCAACCCAGCAGACAGGCAGAATGGGCTGGATTTTGTCCTCCCCACCCAGAGCAGCTCCAAGATTGAGAAAAGAACAACAAATGTTGTACAAGAAATTTATGCAAAATTGAGGTTAAACAGCCCTGACCTGAGCACCCTTCCCCAGTCCCAGGAAAGCATCCTTCTTTTTCTTTAGGCTGGAATCTCACACAGCCATGTCAAGAACTCCCATAGCTCGTGTTCTGCTCCTGCTGCTCTTTGGGAACAGTCAGGAACCACCTCTCAAACTCAGCCAGGACTCCAACCTCGGGAGGAGAAGCTCTGGCCCTGCAGACTGGACGAGGGTCGAGGATTGATTCGGGCACAGAAGCTCCACAAACAGCTGAGCTGCTGCTGGGCCAAGGTACAGGCACAAGGAGCTTCTTCCAGCCTGGCACCAGAGCTCCCAGTCCACCCACAGGGCAAAAACTCCAGCCTGGGATCTGGCCACCCTGACTGATGTATCAGGAGAGACCTCCCTCCCTCCCCACCCTTGATGGGAAATTCTCCTTTCCCCTGAGATGATCCTTCCCTCAGGAAGAGCTGGGCAGCACTGTGGGGCTCTGGCACAGACACTGTCACCCCTGTCACCACCACGGCCCCACGGCAGCTCCCACAACACCAAACAGGCAGAAGCTTCTCAGGTCCTGGAGCTCAGAGCCCCAAACCTCTTCCAAACCCCTTGGCCAAGTCTTGGCTCCGTCCCCTCCCCGCTGGAGTCACACAAACACCTGAACAGGTGTCCCCTGCCCATCTGCCAGGGCCAGCCAGAGCTGGGACGGGGCTTCTGCTCCCCAGAGATGTGCAAAGGGAATGGGAGAGCACAGGTTGCAGGGATGGGGGGAAGCTGTTCCCCTCTCTGTGCCACAGAGGTGTGGTGGGAGCCACAGGCCAGCTCTGGAGGTTAAATGCCTCAACAGCTCCTTGTAAATCACCTCCTGCAGCTGCTCAAGGACTCCAGTGAGTTGCTGCAAACTTACACGTGAGCCTTTGCTTACACAAAGATTTTAACAATACTCAAAACCAAACCCTGAGAAACCGCTGCAAGGACTATCCTCGAGCAGAAGCTGCTCTGCCAGTCCAGTCCACCAGGACGTGCACAGGGCTGGCACTGTCCCAAGGGACATGGCCTGGCATGGCTCTGCCCCCCAGGATGGCACCAGGCCCCTGCACTCGACAGAATGCAGCCTTGAGGGAGAGGATCCAGCGAAGAGGAGCCCTGCAGGTTCTTCAGGCATCAGATTCATCCTCCAGTTCAGCCTCCTTTTTGCTGCTGGGAAAAAGAACAAGGGTCACAGACAAAAAAAAGTAGAAACCAACAAGACCAAACAACAGTCACTTGGTGAAAAAGGGGCTCAGACACAAGGTGTGAGATACAGGATCACCAATGGAATGAGTTTGGGGGTTCTGGTGCACAACCTCCAGAGCAGCCCAGGTGAGCTCCAGCTCTGCCCTGGCAGGCAGGGGTTAGAGATGAACCCTGGCACAACCAGGGGACACCCAGGCTGGCACTCACAGGGCCAGGCCATGCTGTGAACTGCCACCACAGCAGAGAGAGCCCCTCCTTCTGCTCCTGGGTGCACGACTTCAGGAGTCGAGGAGCTGAGCAGGGCAGGAGAGTTGCACCACCCAGGGGTCCCAAGGAATCCGTAAGAGCTGCCTCACCCAGCGTTAATCCCCCACTGCCACCACCAGCCCCCTTCACTCCTTCTGGTCCCTCAGGACCCTGGAGCCCTGACACACGTGGCTCAGCCCTGAGCAGCTCTGGGGTCATGGCCATCAAGCACCTGTCCAGCCTGGTCCTGCTGTGGGTCTGAGGGAACCCAACAACACTCCTGTGAACTTTGCAAGAGAGGCAGGATGGTCACAACTCGAGGAGCTCCTGCACCTCAGAGGGCTTGCCATGGGTTTACACCAATAAACTGAGCACCCACTGGCCCATGTTATGCAAGAGTGGGGGAGTCTGACCCTCCCCTGAGATCCAGAGGCCAAAACCAGCTCCCTGAAGGTATTTCTGTCCACCCTCATGTCACACCTGTAGGCGTTAGTGCTTTGCTGATCACCGGTGCCAAAAAAAGACCAAATCCCCACTGACCTTGCCCAGCTCAGGACACGGTGCTGTGAGGGAGAAACGTGTGAAGCAGCATGGCCACACTGACCAGAAACCACCCTTTCTGCAGGCAGCACATGTCACTTGAGCTCACCTTGTTACCCCTCCTGGCCCTTTAATGCCATTACTGCAGCTCATTCCATGAGCAGATCCCCTTTGGAAAGGCACCTGCTGGGCTGCCCACACACCCACCTCTCTGGCCTGGCAGGTCTGGCCTCCAGTGGTGCACACAGCTGCTTCCGAATGTACTCCCTCGATCTGATGTCAGCCTGGAACCAAGGAGGAAAACGGGTGGGAATAGTCTGACCAGCCCAGCTGGAGCCTCCCAGTGTGCCCAGGAACACTGGATGGTTGTGTTCCAGCAAGGCAGGACAGCTTGGGGCAAGGACAGCACTGACAACATCCCAAGAGCTGTAAGAAAGCACTGCTTGACATTCACTGGGTGTTCTTGTCCCCCTGAGCAGAAGACTCTCCAATGCCATGACAAGCACATCCCAGGCTCTTGGATAACTTTGAGAACCAGCAGTTGATTTTTACAGTCCCTCAAAGTTTTTTTCTTTTTCAGAAACTTCTTTCCCAAACACATTGTGACATTTCAGAGCAGCTGCTGTGCCCCACCTTAAAGGCAGAGTGTCTCTCTCCACTTAAAAAGCAGGATGTGACCTTCCCAGCTGGAAAAGCTTCACAGCATGCAGTGATGATGCTCAGAAAGTGGGTTAACACATCCCTGGTGGCTGTCCTTGAAGCATTTGCTGCTCTCACCACTGTGCTGCCCCTGAGGAGCCTCTCCTGCACCCCAAGCAGCCCCCACACCCCTCAGCCCCAGAGCCCTGGGTGGAGGCTGTTCCTGCTGCTGCTGGAACCTGCTCCACAACTGCAGAGCCATCCTGCCAGCTGAGAATGAGAGAGAGTTACATAAGGGGTGGTTTGTTTGGGAGATTTTTTTCCCTTCTCTCTATAATTGGACAGTTTCATAACTGAACTGACAAATAACTTTGATCACTCTTCAGGATAAGCGATTACGTGATGTATTTTATAACCAGGGAAGGAGGCTGCTCGATAGTCCCTACGGGGACACCAAGGAGCAGGAGGCACAGCTACCAACTATTTTTCTAGGGAAGAAAAACCCCAGCCACGTTCTGCTGAGAACATCAGCTGATGCTTGATTAGGTGGCAGTTCCCAGCCAGTGCTCACTCCTAGTGCAGTGCTGGAGTCAGCTTATCCTGGTGATTAACCACAGGCTAATCAATAAGATGGATCACTGCCCTGTAATAATCCTCACAGATTTGGGCTATTTTCAGAGGGGATAGTGCTGGCTTTGGAATTGTTGCTTTGTCTGTTTTCTGAGGGGCAGTGGTGATCCCTGTGCACACTGCAAGACTGCAGGGGGTACACCCAAAGGGAGCTGGAGTCTCAGGATTCCAGAGACCGACACCCACTCTCAGAGGAGAGGGCTCATGGCTTGTCTCTCACTTATCCTGAGGGCACGTGTTTACTGTTTCACAGGAAGTGACCTGCAGGCCTCCTTCTGTCCTTCCTGGTGGGCTGGAGCAACACCAGGCTGTCCCATCAGCCCCTTCCTGAGCCAGCAGGAACTAGCTGGGCAGGCACGAGGCCAGCAGGAGCTGAAGGATCACCAAGTGAGCGGGTGTTTGGTGAGCAGCTAACCAGGAACCTGCACCAGAGAGCAGAGCAGGGTCCCAGTGCAATCCCTGTCAGCCGGAGAGAGCGAACAGCTTCTGTCTCCCTTCTGTGCACAGGGATCCTGGGACTCCAGACCTGGAGTATGGATGAGCACTGGAGGGGGATTCTGGCCCCTGCCAGGAGGAGGCAAGGGCAGGTCTCTGCAGGGCTTGGTACTGTTCAGGGCCACTCACATTGAGTGCTGTGCTTACTTTTCTGGGATGACAGCTCCTGCCTACCCCAATTCCTGCCTGGGAGCTCTGAATGACCTGTGCAGGTCTGTGCAGAACCTCACAAGCTGGCTGGGCAGAGATCACCCCATGCAAGCACATTTCTCCCAGATGGGCCTGGCACTGGCACGTGGAGTAAGGACTAAGTAGGATGTAAATATGATTGTAGGTGACAATGAATTCCCTCTGGTCTCTCTGAGAGATCACTTTGCTCACCTGCACCACAGCCAGTTCCTTGGCAGCACGACCACACTGTGGGCTGAATGCAAATCGAGCTGTTCTGATTCCTGCCTGGATAGCACTGCATTCCCAAGAAGCACCACATCCCCTACCATAGACTGGCCAGCCCTGCCTCTGGGAGAGCAGATCTGAGTTCCCACAGCAGTTGCACAGCACTGCACATGCTGCCCTCACACAAACCACCACCACAGCCTCAGGAGGCGTGGGCAGCTGAGCTCTCACATAGCATTTCACTTCCAGGGCTGCCAGAACTTACAAACCAGGAGCTGATGATCCACAGGTCTTTCACAACACTGGGAAAGCCATGAGCACATCACCCATCAGGTCTGCAAGCTTGTCCTGGCCAAGTCAGCCATCCATGGCAGGATTCTCCACAGCCTTCTACTTCCTAACTCCAGCTTCAGGTGCTCAAGAGCTGAGGCTTCCAGGTCTGCCCTGTGCCAAGATCTGCGACAGTCACCACACAGAGGAACTGCAGCAGGGACAAGTCCCATGGAAAGGTTTAAGTGTCCTTATCTCCCTCTACAGTAAACACACTCCCTTTGGATTTTTCATCTCTTGACAATAATTCACTCCATCACTCTAAGAAAAAGGTCACAGAGAACTGGAAGATTCTCCGAACATTAGCAAATCCTGGAGATAGCTGGAAGCGAAACGAGGGTGATGAAAAGCTCCAAGACACCTTTTTGTTTCCAAAGGGAATGCTTTTCCCTTCCCTTTGAACACGCCGAGCTGCAGAGCTGGCTCGGAGCTCTGCAGAGGCATCTGTCCCTGGCTGGAGATTACATAAGGAGCTCCCCCAGCCTCCTCCTGTCTGGCAGGTACTGGGGATGAGATTAGAAACTCCAGCTCTGCTATGGACACCTCGAGGCTTGCTTTGCTCCAAGGTGTAAGATTTGCCTCTGGTTTCTGAGTAGAGACTCAGTGCCCAGAGAACACCACGGTGCCCGTGAGCAGCTCTGGCACAGAGCCCTCAGCAGGGTCACCCCAGCACTGCTCTGGGGGGGCTGCACAGGTGGGCAGACCCCCAACACCCAACCAGCACAGCAGCAATGCCAGTGGGCTGTACCAGGGCAGCATTAGGAACAGGGACACCTGAGCAGGCCCTTGTAGATCTGGGTTGTGGAGCCACCGACAGCAGTGACCCCAGGAGAAGGGAAGCACTTGCCAGGCCAGAAGTCCTGAAGTCTTTATGCTTCTCCAGAGCATTTCCTGAAGCTCTGCTACGATTTAATCAGCCAAGGCTGAGCCCTGGTGGCAGCTGTGGCTCGGTGACAGTGATCCAGTGCTGTCCCCTGCTGGCTGGGCCCGCGGCTCCGGCCGGAGTGCGGCAGCGGGGAAAAGCCCAGAGGAGCAGCACTGCGGGCTGTGCTGGGCTCCAAGTGCCCAGGAAAGCTGCATTCCCGGCTCCTGTGGATGAACAGCAGCACCACGGGAGCTGGCTGCAGAGAGGAACCAGGAAATCAGTCAGGGCTGGGAGGGCTGCCGGGCACTGCGTCAGGAGGACAAGCACGGCCACGGGAACGTGATCACGGGCTGGGAGAACAGCCCAGCAGAAGGGTGTCAGCAGCAGAGGAGGCTCTGCAACACACCACAGGCTTGGCAAACACAGCCCCCCTGCTCCCTGCTGCCCTGCTCCAGGCCTGCCTCCCCCCAGCCCCGGGGCCGTACCTGCCGGATGGGCTCCGGGACGCGGTACCTGCAGCAGGACCTGACGAGGCGCACGGCTGTGTCCAGGCTCACCCTGTGCCCCACGGAGATGTACAGGGGCTTCGAGCTGTTGTTGTAGCTCCGCAGCACCTGGGCGTTCAGAAACGAGAGACTAAGCACCCAACAGGCTCCCTTAGAACACACAGAGGGGCAGGTGAATTATGAGCCAGGCAGTCGCCCTCAGAGGGTGGGGTGGTGGCTCTGTGTCTGCAATTCCCAGCCTTCCTGAAGCTCTTCTCCATCCCAGTGTCTCCTCACAGGGACTGTTTGTCCCTCTGGACCCCTGTGGCCCTTCCCCAAACACCTCACACTCCTCTGGGATGCAGGGACACGTGCCAGTGCAGACTGACACCAGACACAGGAAGTCTCTAACATCTGCCTGTTCCTGTTCTCCTCTGAGTCAGATGCTCCCATACTGCATCCTGGTGAACTGCCAGGGAATTGGCACCTCTCCCTGATTGGAGTGCACACGCAGGGGTGCCAAAGCACCTCAGGTGCCACAGCCACAGACGTGATTGTACCCAACACCTGAACTGGCAACTCTCTACGAACATCTGAGCTCTCAGGAAGGGGCTGGAAGTGTTACTGGTCCCTGTTCACACCTGCCTTCCTGAACTGGGATCACTGAGATAGCCCCACTATGGAAACAACATCCTCATGGCCAAGTGTTCAGGGAACCCCCCACAGCTTACCATGCCCAGGACTCTCCCTGAAGTGCCTGTCAATGGGAATGTATCTCCTGACCTCTGCAGGGAACGAATCTAGGGATAAACACACACCAGGTCAGGTTGTTAGGATGTATTTGTATGTAGCTGTGCCAGATCCCTTGGGATATTAAAGAGCAGAAATAAATTCCCAGCCTGGCCTAACCTGCTCCCTGTGCAGCTCATCCCTGGCCAAGCCATCCACCTGCAGGAGGTTCTTGGCCACTCCAATGCACGGCAGATCCGTCAGGACCCCGAGGTGACAGGCCACACCAAATCCTGCCAACAACGAGCCACTGTACCCCCAGGACACCAGGGAACTGGAATGCCAACTGGCAGCACAGGGACCAGGACAGCAGGCCCATTCAGGAACAGCCTACCTCTGTGATGGAGCAGCCCATTCCCATCTACCAGAAGCACCTGAAAAAGCCAAAGCAGAAATGTTACTTCCTGAGCACTCCAAGGAGCAATCAGTGATGTTGGCTCCGGGAGGAAGGAGAAGTCTCTCTCAGTTCTTTAATTCTCTCTGTAAGGCTCTTCCTGGGGTGCTGCCTGTGCCTGACTCCAAACCAGCAGTGTGAGCTCTCAGTGGTACCAGTGTCCTGCACACACAGCAGGGCTCCTGCTGCCACAGGAGGCCTGGCTGCTCTTGGCCCCACATCCCTGCTCCCTAAGGAAGGGACAACGGATGCTCCAACACACCCGTGGAGAGCATCCAGTGCGGTCTCCAGAGGGAGAACACCTTTCAGCAGGACTCTGTGCCCACAGGACACCTCAGCTTGGGACAAGGAAACACAGCACACCTGAGGTCTGAGCTTGGGCTCCTCCTGCTGAAGTCTCTGAACAGCTTCCACCAGGAAAGGGACCTCTCGGAAGGCCAGGAATCCAGCCACGTAGGGGGCAGTGACGGCCACCATCCGGCAATCCTCGTACAGCACCTGGAGCAGGGGGAGACAGAGACAAAATCCTCCTGGAGCAGGAGGAGACAGCAACAAAATCCTCCTACAGCACCTGGAGCAGGAGGAGACAGTGATAAAATCCTCCTGGAGCAGGAGGAGACAGCAACAAAATCCTCCTACAGCACCTGGAGCAGGAGGAGACAGCGACCTGTGAGTGCCAGGGGCTCCTCCTCTGGCTCGTGTCCCCTCCTCTGATCCCTGCTGCTGGATCTCTCCCACAGAGCCAAGGGCTCAGGGCTGTGTCAGTGTGTCACTGGGGACTGATGGCAGGAGAGGGCTGGACACACCGTGCCCTGCCTGGGAGTGAGTCCTTGAACACAACCAGGGCAGCTCCTGAGAGCCAGCAGGAACCCCACCCTGCCAGGGCAGCACCAAAGGGCCAAAATAAACCCTGTAAGGCAGGACAAAAACATGATCGGCAGGGCAAGGCAGGAATCACAGCAGGACCTGAAATTCAGCTCATAAAAATCCCAGCAGCAACATCAAACTTTATTCCTCTGCTTGTTAGAGCTTTTATAGTGAAAGATAATTTTTACATCATTTTGAAAGCTGGGAAAGAGACCAAAAAATTTTATTATTTCAAGTAAAATGACTGTAGGATGTGGGATCCATGGCGGATTTGGAAAGACTTTTCTAAGTCCCATCCCATATTATCAGCTGGTTCCCAGCAGGAACTCACACACTTGAGTGTTACAAACACTTCTCCCTGTCCACAGGCACTGAGGGACATCAGCTCCTTTTGGCTCCTTCTGGGAAGTGGCTGACACTGATTATTTCCAACACAGACCCAAAGCAGTTGTTGTGTTGTACGTGACAAGGGCTGCATCTCATCACGGCTTGTGAGGTACCAGCCCCCCTGAGCAGACACTAAGCCAGTCTCTGGACACCTTGTGAGTTCCCAGCCATCCTACAAACCTCTTGTGATCAGCAGCTGTTTGCATCACATCTTCCTAAACTTATGTCTAAATCCTTACATGTATTTTTTCTCTATCTTTTTTGTGAACACACAATTGGAGGATTTGCTGAACAAACCCAGAATCACAGAACCATGGAATAGTTTAAGTTGGAAGGGACCTTAAAACTCATCCAGTCCCACCCCCTGCCATGGGCAGGGACACCTTCCACTAGCCCAGGTTGCTCCAAGCCCCATCCAACCTGGCCTTGGACACTTCCAGGGATGGGGCAACCACAACTTCTCTGGGAAACCTGGGCCAGGGCCTCCCCACCCTCCCAGGGTGGAATTTCTTCCCAATATCCCATCTAACCCTGCCCTCCTTCAGCTCAAGGCTGTCACACGGGCTACCTGAGCGATGCCCTGCGGGGCAGCCCCGGCAGGGAACGGCCTTTGTGAAATCTTCCTATGAACTCCTATAAACCCCTCGTGTCCCGGCACACCTGGACAGAGCCCTGGAGCGAGGGGCTCACCCGAGTTACCTGGAGGGCCGGGTAGCTGAGCACGACCAGGGAGGCGCAGGCGCTGGTGTCGTCTCCTTTGATGTAGGATAAATCCACACCTCCCACTCTCTCCAGCCCGGTGAAATTCGGGTCTTTCTGCCACTCCTCCGTGTCCTGCTCCACCACGCCGGCCTTCAGCCGGGCCTGCTCCCTGCAGAGACCCCGGGGCCGCACTGAGAGGGGGGTCCCTTCCCCAGGACTCCCCGTCCCCGCCAGCGGTGCCCCGGGGAGCCCGCAGACCCCGCCCGGGGGCAGAGCAGCGGGGGCTCTCCCCGAGGGTGGCCATGGCTGTGCTCGGTGCAGCCCCGGGGCCGTCCCTCCCGTCCCCCCGGTACCGTTCCCAGCAGCGCCGCTCGGGCGGGGCGGCCATGGCGGACGCGGGGCCGCCCGTCCCTCCCCGCCACTGTCCCCCGGAACGCGGGGCCGAGCGCGGCCGTTCCGGGCGCGGCGCAACCGTGTCACGGGATCCTGGAACCATGGAGTGGGTTGGGTTGGGAGGGAACTTAAACCTCACCCCTGCCACGGGCAGGGACACCTTCCACCGGCCCAGGTTGCTCCAAGCCCCATCCAACCTGGCCTTGGACACTTCCAGGGATGGGGCAGCCACAGCCCCTCTGGGCAACCTGTGCCAGGGCCTCCCCACCCTCACAGCCAAGAATTCCTTCCCCATATCCCATCTAACCCTGCCCCTCTGGCAGGCTGAAGCCATGCCCCCTTGTCCTGCCATTCCGGGCCCTTGGAAATAGTCTCTCCATCTTTCCTGTAGTCTCCCTTCAGGTCCTGCAAGGCCACAATCAGGTCACCCCAAAGCTTCTCTTCTCCAGGCTGCATGATCCCAGCTCTCCCAGCCTTTCCTCCCAGCAGAGCTGCTCCATCCCTCTGAGCATCCTGGTGCCTCCTCTGGACTGGCTCCAGCAGCTCCCTGTCCCTCCTGTGCTGTTCCCAGGGCTGGAGCAGCTCTGCAGGGGGGTCTCACCTGAGGGGCAGAACCGCCCCTGCCCTGCTGCCCACGCTGGGGGATCAGCCCAGGGTGAGCTGATGATCCACTTGAGGCATCCCAGTAGTCCCTGTGGACTACAGGGCAGAACGAGACGGGGAAGGAGCCAAAGAAGGAACTAAACAAGCTTTATTGGGGCAGGGGCAGCGGGGCCCGGCCCCGGGACAAGGCGGCGGCAGGCGGGGGCTGCCGGGTTAAGACAGTGAAGCAGCCACTTCCTTCATGGTTCCATTTCTCCTTCACAGTCCAGCCCCGCTGTGGTGCAGAGTGAGGAGGTGGCAGCAGCAGGTACCTGGGCAGGAAGGGGGAGCTGGGAGAAGGAGCTGGTTCTGCATCCTGCTGACAACCCAGTGTCGGGAGAAATGCAGACTGAAAAAATAAATCCCTTTTCCCAGCACCAGGGCACAGTGGTTCGTAAAAAAATACTTCATCTTCCTCAGGTGGGTCTGGGGTTGTGGTTGTCCACGATTCACACGCAGCTGCTGGTTCTGTTTCATCCTCCTGCTGCACAGAAGCAGCTCCACATCATGTCTTTGCTACTGAAGTTAGTAAAAAACAACAACCCCAAACCCAAAAAGCAAATCAACAAATCCAAAACAAACCCCCCACCATTCCCGAATCGCCACCCCTGGGTGTTGTGGCACCAACATTCCTGGCAGTGGCCTTTTCCTAACTTTCCCTGCGCTCTCGTTTGAAACGAGCAGCTGCTTTCCAGGTAGCAATTGCATGAGAGAGAAGAATCTCATCTGGGAATGTCTCTTGCAGCTCTGTAGCTAATTCAGAGTCTTTGGCATCAAGGTAAGGCAGGAGTGATTCCTTCAGGCTGGAAAACAGAGCAGAAGTAGCATTAACAGCTACAGCAAACCACAAGTGCCATGTAATATTCGTGTATTCCCACCACCAAAAATACTAAATACACACAGTTTAACAGGTGTGTTTGTAGTGAGGAGGGTTAAACAGCCTGTTGGATTTACAGAGAGGCTGCAGGACCCAGCAAGGGGAGGCTGCAGGGCAGAACTGAGCTGAGAGGCCAAGGTGTGCCTGTGAGAGCTGAGTGGGCTCCTCCTGGAAGGTTGGGCTTGATGATCTTGGCGGTCTTTTCCAACCTTAATGAGCCTGTGATTCTATAATGATTCTATCCAAGTGCCTGCTGAAGTGCTTGTGCTCCTGAGCAGCAGCTCCTGGTGTATTCCAGAGGTGCTCCCGAAACAGCTCATGGAAAAGGAAGTCATACATGCCCAAAATGGGCAGTGTGTCTCAGGACTAAGCTGGATATTTCTAATGTTGCTGGTTGTGCTGTCCCCCAACAGGACAGGCATTTGCCAAGGGAACTGTTCCCACCATGTGCATTCTCAGAGGCAGAGAAGCCTCAGTTAACAACTGTGGTGGGTTTGGGCTGCGTAACTCTTACCTCCACTTGGGTCTGAATTCATCCACAGCTTGGGCACGTCTCAGCTTCAAGACAATCATTTCATGGAGCTCCTGCAGGAAGGTTTCCAGCCTCGAGTGGACGAGGAAGGTGTGGAGGAGCTTGGCAATCTCTGGACTGAGCTCAGCTTTGTAGTCGCGACTGACGTCTGCAAAAGGATCCTAAAAACACAGCGAGGGGAAAAAGACAACCAGACAGACACATTTGAGCAGGCTCCTTGAGAGCAGAGGAGGAGCTGGTCAGAGTTCTGGGGGTGTCATACCCTTCTGAGGCGCAGCAGCTGCTCGGATTTGCGGGTGGAGAGGAGCTGCCACAGGGCTATGCTGTGTTTGAGGTGACATCGTCTGAGGGCCTGCAACAAAAACACAGACACAGATGTAAGGGATGGCTTTGGGAGCCTGTCCCCAGCCTGCTCTACCCAGGCAGGTCACAGCTCAGCAGCAGAGAGTTCATCCAGCCCTTTAACCTGGTTATAGCCTGCCTGCAACAGGCCTCTCTCCCCCTTTCCCCATTTTGCCTTCAATAATCCATCTGTTTGGTACCGTGAAAGGGAGTGGGAAAGTCATAGGGCTGTCACATGCACTGGTCACAACATAGTGCCTTTGCCCTGGCCTCTCTTCACACTCATTAGGAGATAAAAAACCTTCCCCATCACCAGTTTAGAGAGACAAAGGGATGGTTTCAGCCCTGCTCAGCACCAGGCCAGTGTCACCAGGAGCTGACTCAGATCTGAAGTTCTCCCTTTGCTCAGTTTTAGCACTGCAATAATTCTGCTGACACTCCATTGATCCTTCTCCTTCCCGTGCTGTCAGAGCCTGGATCTACAGAGGAGCCTGACCTTCTGCACCTCCTGCACCTGACCTTTCTGGAGGGTTGCAGGAACCTGCTGAGCATCACAAGCTGTCAGGTGCTCCCACCTTGCAAACAGTGGTTGCAGTGGGAGTGAAAATTGCTTCCCTCTCACTGTTGAATGTGGTAGGGAGGGAATTCAATCACCCTGTCAAGCTAAACTTTTGCTGGGCTTGAAGGTCACACTGGCTGGATTTAGCATAAACCAGTGCAGATTTTACCCTGTAAGAATCAGAGCTGTGCCCTCAGGACTCACCTGCAGAACATGAGGGTTTGTCTGGTCCCCCATCTGCAGAACTTGTTCAATGTAGTCAGTCAGTGGCATCTCAGCATTCTCCCCAGCCATGGCCAGGAAGCCCAGGGTGATTTCAGTGAGGGACAGAGCATCACAGACATCACTGTAGGACTGCAGCTCCCCACTGATCATGTTCATCGCAGAACTGGGCAGAGCACTCTGAAAACCAGGAAGTCAGAGCTAATATTAGTTTAGAGCCATTCCTTATCGCTGCTCAAGTTGCTAAACTCATGGAAAAGGACAGAACCTCAGATGTAGGACACCGAAATGCTGAACTGTCTCCCTTTCCTTTGTAAATTCAGACTGACAACACAAGTCCAGACTGTACATATTCAAGGCATGCTGAGAGATCAGTGGGCAAGCCTTCAGATGGACAAGGCAAGGGACAGAAAAGCCAAGAGTTCTTGGGAAGTCAGGGGTCTCATGTTTGCCCTGTTTCCTCCAGTGCAGAAACCCACCTGCTCCAGCTTATTCCTGACATCAGTAAACAGCTGCTCATAGTTCCGGTCATGTCTGCACACGAGGGTAGGGATTCCCTGTCAGAGGAGAGAAACCCACAGCTGTGAAGCTCTGGAGACACTGCCCACCCAGCACAGTGCATGCCTGGCAGCAGCACCCACTGCAGGGCCCCCCCAGCCAGGCAGCACAGCCCCTGCCCTGTCCCACCGTCAGCGTGATGAGCGGCTTCCCCTGCAGGAACTTGCTGATGACTTGCTGCTGGATCTTCTCCAGATCAAAGTCCTGCAACGTCTCCCCTCCCTTTTCCATGCTGTACTGGCAGTTGGACAGGATCAGAGGAATCAGGTCTCTCTCCACCTCGTAACTGATGAGATGCAGGTCAGCCACTTCCGACGGGCTGATCACGTACCTGCAGGGGAGCAAACGGCCTCCATCAGAGAGAGGAGCCTTCCTGCAGCAGGAAAGCTGTGTGTGTGGGAGCAGGAAATGAAACAGAGCCCAAAAAATGGAATAGCAACACACCTGTCATCTTCCTTGATGTGTTTGTTCACCGAGTGGATGAAGTCGTTGTGCAGACCGATGAGGTAACTGGCCAGGGCGGTGGAGCAGAGGCCCAGCCCCTGCCGCCGGGGCAGAAGGACCTCGAGCTTGCTGTCCAAGGTCAGGTCAGCATCACAGTAGCCTTTAGGGAGCTTAATTTCCCCTGAAATAAAGAGAAGACTGTTTAAGGTGGCCCAGAGGCAGCCCAGGCTGAGCAAGCCTCTCCTGAGGAGAATGTAGAGCCTGAGAAAAGCTGTGCTCTCTGCATTAGGGATCAGCACTGAAGCACACAAGTTCAGGTGAGAATACTACAGGAGGGAAACAAATTCTTCCTCTTGCGCCTGGATGATCTTAAAATTTAATGGCCAAGCTCATTTTTGAGGATATGTCTCAGCATCACTGACAGGAGGAACCTGAACTGTGAAAGAGGAGCAGCACTGGGAAAGAAGGTGCTCACCATTGGTGTCCAGAGAGCTTCTCAGCTTGTTCCAGACAGACAGAAACACATTCACTCTCCTCTGTAACAGGTCCCTCATCACATCTGAGGAACAACAGAAAGACAACTCCATGAAACACCTGGCAACACCATGAAACTCCGTAATGCAGGAATTTTCAAAGCACACCACTGAACTCTAGGCAACTGTTCAAACTGCTCGAGAGACTAAACAGACATTAAACACTTTTCTAATGGTATCAAATGGAATCATTTGCTCTGTTTGTTCATATTTTTGTATTATTATCTACTACTGGCCCAGGCTGGATTGATCCTTGGTCTGATTCTGCATAACCTTATGTACTTCAGTACTTTTCCACAAGTACTTAAAAA